GGGGGGGGGCTGTGCAGGTTTCATATTAGGGAGGGTTGGTTTAACACTGACTCGTCACTCAGAGTGATCAGGTAGTCCTCCTTGAACAGGAGCTCTTCTCTGTGTCGTCCATGACCAGGGGTCGGCTCGTCACCCCTGACCTGGCCACTGGGGGGCGGGTCATCGTTCCTGCAGCCCCCAGCAGACCCACAGGACCAGGAGCTCCTGACCACTGCTGGGAGTAAAGAGGAGGAGGAACCACGCCTCCATAGGAGCCCGAGGCCACAAGGTAGCCAGGAGGAATCATCGAGGAGGGGGTGGACGCCAGGCCGGGGGGCATCCCAGGGCCTAAAGCTGCAGTCAGGGGGCAGGAAAGAGGCAGCTGGAACGTGCTGGAACCGACTTGGCATTTGATCTGGAACAGAAGCGGTGGTTTAACCAACACGTCCACAGATCACCTGACAATGTAACCAGAGTAGAAGACGAGTCCAGAGACGCCACGCGCCTCTAAGGCAACGTCTCCTTTTCCAATACCTCATGCGCAGCCGCTACCGCGGGCGGAGCTTTACACTCCAGGTCACGTTGGCGTTGTTGCTGTTTGATTTGGTTGAGTGAAGGCCGCGGCTGATTGGCCGCCGCCGCGACCTCCTTCGCCCAATCGTCCACCAGTTTATGGAGGTCATCGGTGAACGTGCGCCTCTTGTTGTTGCTGTTGTTGCTTTGAACCTGAGCGAGTCGTGGGATTGGCTGAGCCGAGGGTGAGGGAGTGGCTAAGGTGAGTGACGTCTGAGCGGAGGCGGACTGAGCGGCAGCCGTGTTGAGAGACGACCCTGAAAGGACAGAGAGTCTGAAAAAGTGTGTGTGTGTGTGTGTGTGTGTGTGCAGTTTAAACCATGGAACTGGGGATGTAAAGATACACTCAACCCAATCCTAACAATAAGATTTGATCTGAGTTTGTTTTTAGTCTGGAGGAATTGTGGGTCACAACCAATGTTTTTGGGAGCATACCGCCACCTACTGTTCTAGAGCGTGTAGTGTCATGGTATGACCAGTGACTTTTTAATATAACTCCTTACACCTTGATTTATTTTTCATTTCAACCAATGAGAATTGTCACAGATTGGTAACGGTTTGTAACTGATTCACGGTGCATCGTTACATCCTTCCACTTATTGACTGAGTGATGGAGGCAGCCAACCACAGGACACGTCACTACTGTTGTTATAATGGAGTGGTTAATGACAGGCAGTGAGAGGCGGGGCCACGGCGCCAGGCAAAACACCAACACAGAAAAAATGAAAAATCAAAACTGAAATCATGAAGAAGCAGC